AAAAGTTATCGCTTTTCACTGATATTGACTGGTGAGAAAAAGTTCTTAATTTTTATGAGTTTCAATGTTTCTGGAAATAGTTGCGTCAGAAAAATATACGAATCTCGTGATATCTTTAATCATGATATTAATTAGTTCATTTCTTCTGTTCAGCAATGTTTTTTTGAACTGCATACAGTAATAATAAGCTATTTGTAACTGTTGCATTTGAAATGCTTTTGCTTGTGGTTTAAACATTGAGGCTCCTTTTTTCATTTCTTTGTTAGTGACTGATATTAGATAAAAATAAAAAAGTTCATCATATCAATTTGTAATTTTGACTTCAGCAAAAGCACTAAGAGTGACCGGCATGTTTGAGTAATTTTATTTGAAGTGAAACTATTTCACGCTAAACCTGCATTACTATTTTTGATATCTAATTGTAATTACAGCTGGGTACAAGTAGCTTGTCCACGCTTATCAATTGATTGGGGTTCGGCCTTCGATAAACCACTTTTAACACCTTACGAATTGGCTACTGTGCTTGAATATGTTCCATTCCTGACTCACTCTTATCCGATGGATTTCTATGCAAATGAGAGTCTAGGACCATGGACAAATAATCACGGACTTCACAGAGTCAACACTTCCAAGCGTTCGAAACGAGATCATGTTACAATTGTTGCATCACAAAATTGAGCATAAATCAATTTCTCAATTTCAATTGTTGCTAGTTATCAAGCATACAATTATGTAAAAGTTAGGTTTATAAAGGTGGGTAATACTTGTATTAATATGTTCGGATTAAATCTATTAAAAATGGAATTACGAGATATTTGGAGCACTTTTCTCAGGATTGTTTTTTACCTTTCTGTGTAAAATTTATTGCGCTTTTTTAAGATGATCTAGTAAAATAAAAATTCATATGTAACGTATAAATTGCTGCATTCTCTTAGCAGGGATTCCTTTTCAATCATCAAAAATATGAAGTGCATTGGAGTAGAAAAATTTAGTTGTCGAGTGTTTCAAAAGGGCTGACAATGATATAATTGAAGACAGTCGTATAATTTAAACTTGATCTCAGGTTCTGCCTATTAGATTTCTGGATGTATTTGTAAAACATTTTTACACATCATGTGAAGCACTGCTTAAATAGTACCAGAATATTAAACATTTATGTACAATAAGAATTATGTGATAAATTCAGTTTGCAATCTCTAAAATTGGTTTTTCTTTTTCGCATTGATAGCAGCGCTCATGCCAGTAACAGCATTAGATGATCCATCAGGATAAAGTAGCGTTACAGAGCAAACAATGTTTTCTATTTATAACATTTGTTCAGCCCTGAAAAATGAGATGATTGATAAAGTTAGTTGTTTCACGGATATTTTGCTTTGGAAAAACATCTTTTGTTTGACGCTTTACATATGTGTTAGTTGTTTTCACGAGGCAAATATAAATATAGATA